GGCTTATTCCTGGTCCTCAAGACCTACTTGAGCATGAAGTTTTATGTTCTATCATTTCAGAGTAGCTGTCAATCCCTGTCACCAAAGAGATCTGCAAGGGACTAAGATGAAACCCTGGCTCCGAGTAGGTGTTGTGCAGGTTGTTAGCCATAGCTTTAGACTGATGATGCATTTACTGAGTTTCTGAGAGGCAGGAATACTGAATATTGATACCTGTAGATTACAGCAGTGAGTGCCAAAGCAAAGACCTTTCCAACTATGCAGATGTTTATGATGCAAATGTTTAGGGTTTAGCACTGCAGCTGCATATATTCATTCATCTGGAGGTGGGAGTTTGGCAGGGGAATGTTTCCACAGAGGCTGCTTTCACTTGCTGAGTTCAGATATAAATATTTTTCTGTCTTTAAGTTTCAGGATTTGTTTTTCCACATACATTAATTCCAACATAGGATTTATGCCTCAAAGCTGTTTCTTTTGAAATCCACAAGATATAAGAATTATGGACCAGAGTGAGAATACAGTTCAGATTATCACAGGAATGAAGAAAGATACAAATATTGAAGCTCTCACTCATTCCCCTTCTTCCACAGACGCCATACCAGCAATCAAAGCAAACTGATTAATAATGACTAGCACCTTAATGCAAACTTCTCACAGAAAATGCTGTCAGTTAGAAGAAACACCAGCTGTTGCTGGGGGATGATAAGGAGATAGTCACAATACTCATACTCTCCCACTGGTGTCCCCGAGTGAAGACTAGCACTATGGAGGATCACATGATGGTTGGCATTACTTCAAGCAAATCTAATATGAATACTGCTGGAAGTATTGCTGTGTTGTCTGGTCTCAAGTAAATTTAGAGTTGAATCAGAAGGTGATGCTAAGGTCAGACTACATTTCTGTAACACAGAAGAGGCCATACTGCTGCTCCACAGGCTCAGAAATGTTACTCAGTAAAGGTTTGCAGAATATCCTATTAGCAGTTCATTGTATTAAGGTAACTTAATGAGTAACTAGTCAACACAAAAAAAAGGGTATTACTAGGTAAAACCAGCTCCCCTAGCAATTTGATTGAAAAGTGATATCCAAACTGAAAAATTCTGACTAGTAAGTGTTAACCAGACAGCAAAGTTGGTGCCTATTTTCTTTGCAAATTATCTGATAATTTCTTTACTCTTCAGCTAAGGTGACGAGTGCTTAGATTTTGATATGTGAATATATACAACGGGATTACAGAATCACAGAATAATTTAGGTTGGGAAGGACCTTTAAGATCATCAAGTCCAACTGTTAACCTAACACTGCTAAGTCTACCACTAAACCATGACCCTGAGCGCCACATCTACACATCTTTTAAAAACTTCCAGGGATGGTGATTCATCCACTTCCCTGGACAGCCTGTTCCAGTGCTTGAAAACAATTTCAGTGAAGAAATTCTTCCTAATATCCAATCTATCACTAATCTTCTATCTGAAAGTTGTGCCCCATCTTTACTAGACGTAGGTCTCAACTCATCAGATGATTCTCAACAGATGAAATTTTTTTTTTTTACACTTCAAAGTACCAATAAAAGCATGGTACAAATAATAACTCGGTCCAAATGAAAGCTCTGTTCAAAAATACAAAATCAAATTAGTAATCTTTCAAAATTCTGTATGAATTTCAGTCTGCTCTTGACTAACAAATAATTTAGAAATATGCAGTAAGACATTTACGTAACGGGTAAATAAGCATAGTTACATGGTTGACGTGCCCATTTATTTCAAGTTCTAGTACGACAGTGGCTAGGACTTGGATGACTTTAGTAAACCAACCATGTCAAGCAACATAGGACTCTGTATTAATAACACAAAACACTTCTAGAAATAATGCTTCAGCTAAAAGAAAAGTTTTGCAAATCCTGGTTACTCTTACAAATAACTATTATCCCAAAGCCAAATCCATCATTGACTGAAAACTCCATGAATTTGGTGGGCTTACACCATGACTGAAATCAGTCACCCAGCTCTGACCATTTTATTTTAGCCTGTGAGTTGCACAAGTGAAATAGAAAAGAATATTATTTGTTGTATTGGCTTTTCTCCTTTAGAGGGGTACTCATTAACAATTTTACCACAGCTTTTAAGAAAGATTTTTTGTTTCCCCAATAAGACAGATTGCCTTTCCTGGGGAGAGTTCCATTCTAAATTGAAGCATGTGCTTTGATTCATGTTCACTAATAAATATTTAAATTCATGCTTAACTTTAAAACACAGTATTGGAATTGGTAGCATTACTAAGTTAAGCAAATGATAATCCCTACATTCATACCTGAGCGTTTGCCTCAGTCCTGCTTATATTTACATGCAACAAACTCTAGTAACAATTATATGCACACAAAGAGAGCACAGAAAGAATGGCTTCAAGATTTATACCAAAAACATTGTGGAGTGAGTCCAGACCACTAACTCAGGGACTCCACTGAAGAGTCATTCTGGCTTCATATGCTCCAGCAAGTATAAAAGCTCCACCAAGTTACAGTCTTAAAGCGTGTGTCTTCAAAAATGATTCAGTAAATTTATATTATGGTCACAGTTAAACAATCATGTTACCATTTAAAAAAACAAACTTATTTTAATGCAGACACCTGTGCACTTTGATTTACAATTTGTGCCATACAAAATCCAGAAAAAAGATAATCCAATGCAACTACTGATGTATGAAGAACCAGCATCTCAACTTGAATTATTTTCTCAGCTATCATACTTAGTTTTCCTCCTGGGAAAAGGCAGCTACTGCCTTTCTCTTTTTTAAGTCCAACATTTGGAACTTAACAACGTCCTCTCAGGATGGACAACCTTCTTCACAATTACTAAAAAATGACCCATGACTTCCTGGTTGTGTTTAAGCATGCTTTACTAATTTGCTTGCTTTTTTTTCCCTTTATTTGCTGAAAAAAATTAAGAAATTTGCACTTTTTTGGTCACAGCTACAGCCAGGACTGTACAGCAGATACATCAAAACATGTGTTTACTTCTGAGTTTGATGGTTATAAACAAAGCTACTTCCTAAATAAGATGCATTTTCCCCTTCAGGACATTGTCATTCATCTCAACTCAGTATTTCACATTAACTTTTTAACGATCTAAAAATATTGCAGATGTTTTAAAAGTACTCTGTTATAATTAATGATTTTGAAGCCAATAGATGGCCCACTGAAGTCACCAGGAAATTCAGTAATTTCAGAAGGGATCTCTCAAGCAATAGTTCAAAAAGTAGTTTTGAGCCACTGGAAAGACAGAGTAATTTAAATGAGAAATTACAGGTAAAATTTGTCCAGAGTTCAGTAATTAAATGCAAGGGCATTTAGAGTGCTGGTTTTGGATTATGTCTGATTGCCTATGTCAGTATGGTGCCTCAAAAAGAGCTGCGTTATAAATCATAAATTTGTTAATAATGTTTATGTGGCTCGCTGTGAATACTACAGGTTGTGATTTGTAGTGCATTAAGTGGAGCACCACACGGTGATTGCAATATATACACAGAGCACTTATTGATTGAAACAGATTTTGCCTGCGGTAAGTGACGCAAGCTTGTGCTGTCTGATTTTGTGGCCGATGCTGCAATGTCAAAGTACAACTGGACTGAACTGCTGCTAAGTACGGTGGATTCATAATGAATGTTTGACATATTCATATAATTCACTGGTTGGTGAATGGGTCTCTTAAAATTCCTTTGTCTCTATTAATACAGCATTTTTAGGAACAGAAAAAAATACACTCTTCCAAATATCCATTTTTCTAATATGCTTGCTCATCTCCACTGTATATTCTTAAACAACTGGATATATTAAAATCTCCTGGTGACTTGGAGCATTACCATTTGGATCACAGTGTAGTATATACACTTCAAATACTAGGGTTTGTATATTGATTTTCAGGAAATGCTCACCACTTACCAAATAATAAAGGAAGTCCTTGTCACTAACCTTTTTCATATGAAAATCTGTTAATTAATAATAAGATTTGATACCATTTGTGAAGCTCTCGAGTGTTGGATCCTAATAATAAAATACGTGTGCTTACAAAAATTAACCCATAATACAATTAAACAATACTTAATTTCTAATGTTACTAATCAACTAAAACCTACGTTCAGTCTCTTAATCTCAAGTGACAAAAAGAAACCAGTTACTCCAATTCAGTGAAACTATATCCTAGTCTATACTTGCAGTTTTTACGTTATGCATAGTTAAAGACTTTTTAAATTAGTCTGTTCTATGTGATTCTCTGTAGTTCACTCAAAATCTCAGAATTTGTTTCATTCTCACCTGCATTACTTGGTGCATACTGCGTCTTTCAGACACTCACCGCCTTGCTAGGGAGCTGGCCAGGAAATAGCAAAGGAGGGCTACCACAGCAAGATGGCCCCTCTGCTATGTTCCCATGGAGACGTTGTATTTAATTCTTTTATTGGTTTGAAAGTGTGTGTGTGTGTGTGTGTGTGTTTGGTTTTGGGTCGTTTTTTTTTTCTTACCCCATAACATAAAAACCATGTATATTGCAAGTATATTTTGCCCTTTGGGAACCAGAAATAATAATGTTCAGACATCAATGTCTGGATGCCTACAGTTGGGTCCAATGGAATCACAACTATATCAAGACCTGTGCTGCCTGGAATGAGACAGGATCCTCTACTGAGCCAGGTGCCAAGTATTTGTTCCTGCCTTCTCCTTCCTTCACAGCCTGGCTGTTAGTCACTGACTAGAAGTACAGATACCACAGGATGCTACTGTAACTCCAGACGTATGCATCCCCCCCCCCCCCCCCCCCCC